CAACCACAAACATACACGTACATACACTGAGTCACGTCACAAAAGAATCATTATTTTCTGTTGAGCAGCAGGCTGATTCATCAGCAGCAATCTCTTCACACCAATTATACAAAAAACTGAGCTGGGGATAATGACATACCACTGTTTGCAAATCTCTCTCAGCCTCAGCTGGTCTCATCTTTGTAATAAGAAAAAAATCCTTGAGGAAGCTTTTACCAAATCGCATCTTGACCATTAAATCTTTCTTGAGGAAGGTCATTTAATTTTATGGAAAGAAATGAAAAATTAAAATGGCATAAGCAGAAATAGTCCTGGTCTGGAAATCAGAACACTGATGATTCTAGTTCTAGTCCTGTGGCCTTGGCAAGAGAAAAACTTGGGTCTCAGTTTCCCCATCTGGAAAAGGGGGATGTTGGGATGGGGGAGTTGTTCTCTTTCCCCCATAGTTGATGAAAATGGAGGTCTAGCATGGTGTCCTGGGTCAGAACACCAAGTTAAAAAAAAATACAAAGAAAACATTTGATCCCCTCAGCACTTCCTCTGAGAAAAAGAGACCAATGGTGCATAGAGGATCTTCTGCCTCCATTACAAGATCTATAAAATGAAAGCAATAGTGACTACTGAGGGCAGAATTTGGATGATTAGTTAACAGCAATTATAGAATTATCCTTGACAGCACATGCTAAGCCCAGTGGTGTCTTTTAACTGAGCCTGATTTAAACATGCATTGTGTTGAACGGAGTATCATTTAAATGGTCCATTTTAGCCAGATTACGGAGGTGAAGTGGAGAACCACAGAGTTACCCTGAGCATTCAGGACAGTCCAGAGAGCTAATTTGGACAATTGGACACGATTATTTTCTTTTGCCTCAATTGACCAGATAATTGTACACAAGTCTCTGCCATTTGACTCCATGGAATGTCCCTTTGTGTCATAAGAAAGCCTGGCCATAGACTGGTGTACCCTGACATCTGTCCAAGGGTGGCATGGAGTTGGGAACAAGATGCATGCAGCTGACACCTAAAATCTAACTCTGAATCCTAAATCAGAAGCACTTTCACATGTGCTAAAAGTCTCTGCTTGCACCCAGGACTCTCATGAGTTCCTTCTAATACCCATCACTTTGGAGGAGGTTGTTTTCAAAACAGAATTAAACAAAACCATCAGGCAACAAGGTTACAAGTGGCATCTGCGTGGTCAAGAAAATTTGGAAACAAAATTAGGTGTTTTTTTTTTTTTTTTTGCTTTGTCTTAAGATGGAGTCTCCCTCTGTTGCCCAGGCTGGAGTGTAGTGGTGTGATCTCGGCTCACTGTAACCTCCGCCTCCCAGGTTCAAGCAATTTTCTTGCCTCAGCCTCCCTGGTAGCTGGGATTACAGGTGTGTGCCACCACGCCCAGCTAATTCAGTATTTAGTAGAGATTTTAGTAGAGACGGGGTTTTACTATGTTGGCCAGGCTGGTCTAGAACTCCTGACCTCTAGCAATTCACCTGCCTTGGCCTCCCCAAGTACTGGGATTATAGGCATGAGCCACCTTGTCTGGCCAAGACAATTAGTTTTTCAGAGCTAATACACACCAAAATACACAATTGTAGGCATGCATGTATGTGCATACACAGTGGTAAGTCCTGAAATGTAACTCACATTGGATGAACCAGGTCTGCCTACCTAAATCTCAGAAGAAATGAAAACTTACCATAACTAATTGATGAATTATAACCATGGGGAAGCAGGAAGTCTTTGTGATGAGCTGTCTTCCCTACACCCAACTAGGGACAACCCTTCTGTGAAAAGGTCTCTCCACATGGCTCCACATGGCTTGACTAGAGTAAGGGATGCCTATGATCAAGCTCATGGCCGCGTGTAGAATGGCATGCTATCCCATTAGATTTAGATGCAAATGGTGCTAGGCTAGGTAAATTTTGGTGCAGCTGCAGAACTATGGCAGATTGACCAGGAAGGATTTTAGATTGCTCAAACATCAGATCAGGATCAGACATTTTACAGAATGGTCACTAAATTTCACAGAGGAAATCTATATCCAGCCTGTTTACCTACTGTCAAAGTGAGTGTTCAAAGGGCCACTCCAATGGCCCCCCACTTCCAGGCATCCTGGCAAGTCATGCCTCCAAGTCACTGGTGGCATCTTGCAGCTCTCCACTGACGGCAATGCTTCTTCACATTGTGTCTCATGCTCTTGTAGTGCCGGTTCAAGACTGGGCCCCCAAAGACTCAGCTGAGAACATAACCCAAGAGGTCACCAATCACACAGGTGTTGGCACCTTTATGTGGTCCCCTTCGGGATGGAGGATTCTTTAATGTTATTAAAATATCATTGCCGGTCAGAGTGTTCTTAAACCCTATGGCAAACGTCTCTCCTTTGGGAATGGATTTGATTCTTGGACACAGCCAGTGGCCAACAAGCGACTTGGGGAAATGTAATTTCTAAACAAAAAACAAGGTGAGAGCACAAGAGGAGGCGGTTGTTTCTTTTGTGTGGTTTGTCAACAGGCTCTGAAGGGAACTGCTGTGAGTCACTGCAGCACCTCAGGACCAAACGCCAAGCGTGCCAAGGAGACCTGGCAGGCCAGCTGCTATCTTTTTTATGTATAGGTTCTGGTGATGAAACCACATACCCCTACTGTGACTCAGGTCCACATCTCCCACCAGCGTACGTATGCATGAAAGTCAAGCTTCAGGACAAAGGTCCTCCTTGGGGGACCCCAGGACAGGCACAATCAAGGGGAAATACAGTCTTGGCTTTGAGTTCCACTGGCAAACCCTGTCCCTGTTTTGGTGTAAGAGTAGGAAACAGTCATTTAGAAAGTCAAATCTCCTAGAGCCTGTGTGTAAGAAGTACTTCTCAACAAAGCACACCATAGTTTTATTTGAAGATGTCCAAATGTTTTTTGGTATGTATGTAAAGCATATATTTTCATAAGAAAAATAATTATCTGCCTTTTAGGCAGTTTTCCTTTTTATATATTGGACAGGAAATAGATTGTCCCTTTGAAAGCATCCAATAGATAGATCAACTTTCAGACACCAAGGCAAAGGCCTCAGGCACAAAGCAAAGAGTCAGGGGCCGAAAGGATCACAAAACTGGCTGGGCCCTCCCCTAACACAAACACACTGGAAGAAACATGAGCCCATTGTTAAGATTAATACAAGGATTGCAGGGTGTTCTTTAATCTGCATGATTGCTTTATTGTATAAAAAGTTTCCAGTAACAGTAAATTGGTTTTTAAAAAGGACAAAAAAAGTCATTTTGGATAGAAGCACTTCACTAATTGCTTTATTTAAGCATACAAGAAAAAGTGTCTTATCTGACCAATTAGGGTGGAAGGGTTTTATTACCTTTAAGAAGCCATTAGCTAGGATAAAACACTGAAACCACTTGTGTCAAAACAAATAAATAATGTAAATAACGCTCTCTCAATTAGCAGAGGGTGAATCAGAGACACACACCGCTTCACACGCATGGCCCAGCCAGCACCACCACCCCCACCCCCACCCCCAAAACGAACACAAGAGACAGCAGTTTTCAGTTACAATCTTGGGAAAGATCAGGAGCTTTGGAAAACTGATGGTAAACATGTCTGTTTCTCCTTCTACCTCTACTCAACCTGAGCCACCCCTGGATACTTTAAAGGAGGCATGTGGGCTGGGCATGGTGGCTCACACCTGTAATCCCAGCACTTTGGGAAGCCAAGGCGGGAGGATCATGAGGTCAGGAGATTGAGACCAACCTGGCCAACATGGTGAAACCACATCTCTACTAAAATACAAAAAATTAGCCAGGCGGGGTGGCATGTGCCTATAGTCCCTGCTACTCAGGAGGCTGAGGCAGGGGAATCACTTGAACCTGGAAGGCAGAGGTTGCAGTGAGCCGAGATCACACCGCTGCACTCCAGCCTGGTGACAGAACAAGACTCCATCTCAAAAAAAAAAAAAAAAAAAAAAAGAGAAGGCATGTGTCCAGAAGCTGCACCCAGGGATGCCCAGAGGGAGCCTGCCCTGCTAGGCCTCTTCTCCAAGGGCGAATCCCAGGCAGGGAAGACTGGCCTGGGTGATCGTTACCTCCACAGCCCAACAGAGTGCGGAGAAGCATGAGGTGCCCACAGACGATGGCTGTCAGCGAGTAAAGGGAAAGAAACCCTGAGGTACCATGATTCTTTTCTCTTCCTCAAATGCTGCTGATCTCTCCCCAAGTACAGGCTCAACAGAAAAATACAGTGGTTTGAGGACCCCAGGAAGTCAGCACACAGGCCGGGGGTCAGCTAGCTCCAGGCTAGGTCTCTCTCTCTCCCACCTTGGGAAAACAGTCACAGCACCAGTGCCCTGGCTTCAGGTAGAATGGGACAGTTCCCCAACCTGGAGGACATCCTTAAAACAATCTCTAATCAGGTCTGCTATTTTACCCCAATAAGTGCAGGGGACAAAAACCAACCTTTATCACCCTATTGGGTGAAAATAAATATAAACAAATGACGATCTTCTCCTACAGGGTCAGTTTCCTTCAAGGGTTTCTAAGACTCAGCACTTTAAAAAAGCTTGAACAGGAATCCGGTATTGCCACTGCAGACCGTTTTTGAGGCCAGTTCCCTAATTCGGACAGCCCCACTCCTAAGAGGAACAGGTCTAACTTGGAACGTCCCAACCATGGGTTAAAATCAGCTGAGATGAAAGAACACCTCCAATGACTCTCAAGAGCTATGGAAGCCTCACCATTTCAGGGGTGACTGATGAGGTGCTGGCTTCTTATTTTCCAGCCCTCTTTCCTAAACAATACTTGTCAGGGAAGACCAGGGTTGCTTCCTGAAATGCCAGGGACAGGTCCTTTCCATTCCACAGCTACATCAGTAAAAAGGAAACCAGTGGCTGCTGGAGGTGGCACCAACTTGGAACGGGAAGGCTGGGGCAGGGGTTTGCATGTTAAGCCCACGAGCTGTTTGGACAGCTTCAATCTCTGGACTTGAGTTTAAATTTCTGGAAACAACTTCAAAGTCAACTCTAGAGAGACATTTTATGTGACTGGTCCAAATAAAATGCAGTACATTGAATGAGGTCATACACTTCTTAAACTTTGTAAGAGAAGCAAAAACAATGGAAAAAGCCATTAAAAATTATACAAAGACCATTAAAACTCTACTGGTGTCAATTAAAACAAGGCCAATAAAACATGAACAACTTCAAACTTCCCATCCCTTTCCACACTATTCTACAGTTGTAGGAATGTATTTGAGCACCATATTGATAACAGGTAGGAAAAAGATGAAGTCTTACTTTGGTGATCTGACCCACACTCACACAAACGAGGAGCGTCCTAGTCAAGATGCCCACAGTCCTTGGCATTGTGCCTGCTTCCTAGGCATTGCTCAGTGGCAATGGAAGAGCCAATAAATCAAATCACTGGTGGAATATTTTACTTTGAAATGGAGTGATGTTTGGTTAATAATTTGAGATCCACTAATCCTAAATGGGGTGACCCATTTAAAATGGCCTCTGTGTAAATTCACAGTTCATTAAATAGAGTCTGGTTTGAACAGGTCATTATGTAGTTAGTATATAAGTAATGGATTGAGCAAGGAGGCTGGGGATACCCACGGGGACACACTGGCTGAGACTGGTGGCTTTCATAACACTGTCAAGCTTTCTTTTAATGCGAGATTCATTCAAATTGCCAACTTAATTTTAGGTGGTTTTGCTTAGTAACCCCTTTTGGTTTACAGTAGAAAACACAGTGCAAAAATTTTAAATAAGGAATATTCCATTTACAATTAATTTAAACTTATGAAGCTGTTTTAACTGGCCCATCTAAATGTGTTAATTAACATCAATGATGGTTTCTTATTTTTCACACTTTGTTACTCTGATCATTAACAGTGATGGAAAAGCTAAATTAAGTTAATGGGGAACGGATTATAAATTCTTAAAGGACTTCTTAGTTGTTTTCAACTGGAAAATATATAGAGAAGATGAAGAGGCATTTTTGCCTCTACTCATCAATTTTTGGTACCAAATTTCTTAAAACCCAGATGGTTTAAAGAAAATTTTTCCAAAAATTATTTTAACATTCTGCTCAGACATGGCTGCTAGAAAAATAGCATATACACGTGTAACACCGAACAGCTTCTGCAGTCCGTGTAGCATATACACGTGTAACACCGAACAGCTTCTGCAGTCCCTGTAGCATATACACGTGTAACACCGAACAGCTTCTGCAGTCCCTGTAGCATATACACGTGTAAACAGCTTCTGCAGTCCCTGTAGCATATACACGTGTAATACCAAACAGCTTCTGCAGTCCCTGCAAACATCCAGCTCGCTTTCTCTAAGAAAAATATATATTATAACTGATCACAGAACTCAATCTCTATTGTGCAGCAGTATCAAAGGTCCTTAAATTCTCAACAATGAAGGAAAAACAAAAGCCCATTCCGCGGACCGCTTGAGCAGGACTAGTGGAGGAGGAGTCCGTGGATGGAAAGGTTCTCTGCCCCGACGCCCTCGGATTCCTCGGGGCTGCACCTCTGACAGCAGCTGGCCCGCGCAGGCCAAGCCCCTCACACCGGGAGATGCATGCGTGCGACACACACGAGAACCCAATGCCACTTATCGAGACTTCACACCAACGAGGACAACAATGAGCACAATGATGATGACAAATAATATTAAAATCACAAGCATCTTCCGATTCTTCTTTTGATACTGTTCTGCCTACAAAAAGAGGAGGGGAAAAAAGGCAGTCATTTTCCCCAAAATCCCAAATCAGGTCCCACGCATTTCCAGACTGAGGCTTCTGGATCTGTCTGCACAGTGACTGAGGTCTCTGCTACAGGCTACATGATCATAATCCTTCCATCAATCCCAGGGAATTCTGTCACCAGGAGTGGAAGAGCCCCATGATCCTGGAGCTGCTTATTTGCCCTGGGCGTGGAAATGGACTTGTTGGAAACCTACTACTAAGACAAAGGCTGACAGGGAAGTCTAAGCTCATGCTTCCGGATGCCGCTGGGCCTGCTTCTCCCTGCTTCTCCCCGCTTCTCCCTGCTTCTCTTCTCACGGGCCGTCCACTCCTCGTCCCGGCTCCTTGAGCGAATGCGCGGCTCCTTCACCGCGGAAGGAAACAACGGGCTGGAGGAGCATAAGCGGCAGGTAGGCAAAGATGCCTCCAGAGAGGCCCCATTTCGGCCTCCCCTAAATTTGGAAACAAGAACTCATCCTTTGAAATAAAAACAGACACGATACAGCAAAGGCACTCCCAAGCTCAACCTGGGGACAAGGCCGCACCCTGCTTATCTCTTCACCTGAACACCGCATCCTGGAAGCTCAGCGGGAGCGCGGGAACTCCACCATGCCTGGTACAGAAATGCCAAAGGGCCCCGCCTGGCTGGTGAAAGACACACAGCACTGAGAAGCGAGAGCCAGAGGGCAGAGGAGTTCAGAGGGAGCCGGGAAGCACGTCCAGGGAGAGTATGCGCTGCCCTCTTCCAGACCTTGCTATGGCACAGGAGGAAGGGCAGCGGGAAGGCAGCCCTGGCGAGAATGGCAATTTCTTCTCCTCCATCCCCCTCGGTGGGCTTGTTCCCGAAGCGAGCCTGCCCGCCCACCTGGAGGAGCCCCTCATCCACCAGGAGGAACGCCACTGGAGAGTCGGGTCATGGGGAGCAGCTCCCAAAGCTCAGTCACCCTTAGACCAACCGACTGCTGAGCACCGGCCAGCCGCGGTGCTGTCTACAGCCTTGAGGCTGGAGGGAAGACGGAGCACGCTGACTTTTCTAATAAGTAACCCAGAACACCAGGGAAGCCAGTACTAAATAATATACTGTAAAACCTCTCAAAATGATTTATAAAGTAGAACCTAAAACAAAATTTTTAGTTCCCAGTAGATTTGCTCACTCCCGCAGAGAAAGCTTTTTCTTTTATCTGTTATATTACAAAACATGTTTCACTAATTTTTATTTAAGAAACTTCAAAACCAATGCATAATTCAGCAGCACATCAAAACCTGGGTATTACAGAATGAGAAACTAGTTTTCACTTTTAATAGATACGGCTTGGCAACCAAATTAATCTAAATGCTTAAGGAGCCCCTGCTTAGAGGAGGTCAGACCTCTCTTCCCCACCACAGGCTGGAATCTCATATCCACCCAGCACGTGGCAACAAGCACCCTGAAAAGACAGCTCAGCTCAGGGTTTTGGGTTAGACAAGGGTAAGGGCTGACTTTCTGTAAACCCAATGCTGCTGTTAGATGGGGTGATCTCTGGTATAGGAAGCAACTGATTTTAGAAAAACGGTAGAGTAGTCCAATAGTGAATTCGCAAAACACTCATTATATGGCTAGAAATTCCACTGGGCCTCAAAGATACAAGAAAATGGACACTACCTATAAAGTATTGTTATATTCCTTTTAAAGAAAATATGTAACCAATTATATATGAGATCCACTCAGAAGTTTATGCCATGTTTCTCATAACTGATTATAAGATTCCTAAGATGCTTTCCATCTATTTTTTTTAAAAGAACAAACATCATAAAAAACACCCCTGAAATAACTACCTTATTAGCACAGAACAGAAGAACTACTCTCGCTTCAACAAACTTCTCTTCTCTCAAGGTAATCCACAGACATGCTGTGGTAATTAAAGAGAAAATTAGATTTTTATCTTCTCCATAATGATTTTACACCAGCAATTCATCAGAAATGTGTGACGAGAGGCCTGAGTCAGTGGCAGCAAGCAGATTTTCAACACATATTTTAGCAAATGCCCATTCGACTGATTTTCTAAAATAAGAAGTCTCAGAAAAGGATGAAATATTTTCTAAAAGGAAGAAAACTCCAATCCCTTTGGAATTTACTGTCATAAAAAGGAATTCTTAGCAATTCTGGATCTAGGTGTGGGATACACCTGGAATCATTAACTGCAATAAAATGGCAACAGCCCCCACAATTGGCATTAAATGAAATGAATCCCTTTTTACACTACCATACTGAAAGTGGACAACACAAACAAAAATGCTGAAGATAGTTATGGTGGAAGAGAAATCTCTTACCAATTCCTGATTATTTGAAAATAGATCCTAAAATTCCCAATTCTTGAAAGACGTGTCATTACCTTGTGAAGCTGCTTCAAGCCATCTTCCGTTTTGATACAGGACTGTTCAACATTATAGTCAATTCTATCAAGGACTGTACCCTAGGTATAAATGACAGTTATAGACGATCAACAATGGCAACTGGGAAAACTGGACATCAAAAATGAGATATACAAATTATAGACATCATCATGCAGAAGATGATGCTTTCCTTCCCTGTGTGCTGCAGGTACACACGGAGGGCTCTGAGTCCCCCTCAAGCAGGGTCAGGAGCTCGATGGCAGAGTGCTGGTTAGTGCCATCACGTCTAGTTCACGAGAAAGAAGTACTGACAGACTGAGGTTTCCTTTTTGGTTTTCGCTACCATACAATAGGCCATATTCAGACTTACTTGGGCCTTAAACAATATATAGTTCAGTGGAAAGAGGCTCTGAACAGCAGAGAGGCTCTGTACCCATTTTGTGCCTACACACTTGGACTCATGTAAGCAGAGAACAGCAGCACAACCCTGTTAGGAGCAGACCACAAACTGACTATCATGTCTAGAAACGTGAATACACATCTCTATGGGTCAGAGCAGACAATGTGCCATCTAAAATTAAAAATCTGGCCTCAAAGAAAAGATGTTTAATTGTTTAATCTCTTAATACAAATCAGAAGAAGGGGACACTGGGCTATAGGGAAGAACAGGGCTTTTATTGGAAACATGCTGGATTAGAAGAGATAGCAGTTCACTGAGAACTGCTGGAGTAATTAATGTAACTGGATCTTTCAGAGCCTGAACACTCCATTCTGCAGTTGGTTTCAGGGGGATCAGGACCCAAATCCCTGCTGGCAAGATAATAAAATGCCCTAATCAGATTTTAACAGTGAACAACAATTTAATTCTACTTGAAAGCTAGTGGTTCCAACTGCCATTACACAATAACCTGCCAAAATTAGAAGGGAAATCTTATATATTGGCAGAATCATTGCTGAGCTTGGTCAGAGTCAACTAGGTCTTTAAAGTAGGGTGCTCACATTAAGTACCCTGGAGGGATAGGAAGAGAAAATTAGAACTTCTAAAAAAGATTTATTAATATTCTTATAGGGAATGCCAGTAGCCTATGTATATAATTTGTAAATACAAATTATTGAGTATCCCTTATCTGACATGCTTATTCTGGATGGGACCCAAGTCTAAACACGAAATTCATTTATGTTTCCATATACCTTATATACATGGCTTGAAAGTAATTTTATTTTATATATATATATATGGGTTGTTTTTTTTTTTTGTTTTTTTTTTTTTTGAGACAGAGTTTCACTCTTGTTGCCCAGGCTGGAGTGCAATGGTGCAATTTCGGCTCACTGCAACCTCCACCTCCCAGGTTCAAGTGCTTCTCCTGCCTCAGCCTGCCGATTAGCTGGGATTGTGGGCAGGCGCCACCACACCCCACTACTTTTTGTATTTTTAGTAGAGACAAAGTTTCACCATGTTGGCCAAGCTGGTCTCGAACTGCTGACCTCAAGTGATCTGCCCACCTTAGCCTCCCAAAGCGGTGGAATTACAGGCATGTGCCACCACGCCCGGCCGCAACATTTTCAATAGTTTTGTGCATAAAACAAAGCTTTAACTGCAACCTGTCACATGAGGTTTTGTGTAGGTATTTTCCACTTGTGGCATCATGTCAGCACTCAAAAAGTTTCAGATTCTGGAGCATTTTGAATTTCGTATTTTCTGATTAGGGATGCTAAGTATATATTTGTAAACATATGTATATGTGTATATATATTTGCAAACACAAAAGGACAGACATACACACACACACACACACACACACACACACACACACACACACACACACGTTGGGGGAAATGGCTCCAATTTTTTCCCTGAAAGGAGTACAGGAAAAAGAAGGAGCAGATAGTATGGCAGGAAAGCCTGTTGACAAGGAAGGCCAGCTCACGTACCTGTTCTACAATCATCGCTCCTAAGTCCCTAAATATTTCATTCAGGTCAGAAATGGACTGTACAATCTGGCGGATCTCTCGCTCCCTCTCTTCCACCATCAGTGTGTTCTGCTCCACCAACACTAACTGGTCATCGGTAAAACCCTAGCAAAACAGTGTACAATTTGTTGGTTAGATTTTTTTTCCCCCTCTCAGGAAAGCTATGGTGTACTAGTCTAGATATAAATATAAGTTAAAGAAAATGAAAATAATTTAAAGAAAATGAATTCTGAAAATATTTCTGTAAAGCACATAAATAATAAGTAAACACTTATTTTTTCCTAACAGGAAAGACTCAAACTCCCTAAATCAGCAGGATCTAAAGCTCTGAGGCCACAGCAGGGAAGACAGAAGCCCACGTCTGCAGCTCTGCAAGGGCACAGGAACAAAACCCCCAAAATAGCCCTCTGCTGCTCTGCGTTCTTCCTAAGAAGGCAGGGTGTTGACCACTTTCCCAAATGTTCTGGAAAGCAGATTACAAGGTCTCCCTCCCTGTGGCCTTTGGAAAGGAACAAACAGTACGGCTGTTCTTCCACCTGCTGCAAAAACAACTTGATGAATACACAAGTCAGCTGTACCAATCCACTGACACTGCAGGTAAGTTCGAGGTCTAGGAGGAGAAAGCAGCAGCAGAATGGGGTGCACAGACCCGGCAGTCAGCTTTGCAGCGCTTTCACGTACCCGATGGTAAAGAGTATTATCGTCTCCATCATCCATTAGTGGTACTGACGTGTCAAAAAAATGCTGGGATCTTTCCTCTCGATTCTTCATGCCTACCACAGACAGGAATTCATTTTACTTGAATATGTAAACCACCCTGGTTATTGCTCTACCATTAAAAAAGGGAATTCTAGAGTAAACGTCAACAGTCAAAGTGGAGATATTCTTAGCCACTTTAAAGAAGCCTATCTCCAATGGGGGTAGAGGGAGAGTAAAGGATTACAAACACACAATAATATGCAGGCATTTGGGATTATTCAAGACAAAGTCACAGTGTAAACGTGCACAATTCACTTGATGCCAAGACAAAAATGACACAACCATCTGAGAATCTCTAAGTGAAACAGAAATATTTAACCTAACTGCTGTTACAAAGCATTTTAAAAAATCAATATTTCTCTCTAGAAGCATCTCTAGTAAGAATTCCAAATGGCCCTAATCAAATTTTGGAAGTAATAAAATTAAAATACAAATCTGCCAGTTGTCAGAGGGAGAAAGAGGGAGGGAGAACTGAAGTTTTTTTTTTTTTTTTTTTTTTTTTTTGGAGACTGTAGGGACTTTATTGATTACAATGGCCATTTTTAAAACCCAGCTTACAGGGCGATTCGAATGAAAAGATAGCTGAAATCGGGCTTGGGGCTATTTGTTGAGTGAAACCGGTGGTGCGAGCAGAGGAAGCGAGGACCCCGGGGAGGGATTCTCAGGTGCTCCCAAACACTTTGGTTGTTATGCAAATATGCGGCTTTCCCTAATAACAACTGCCTTTGCCTATTTAGTAGCAGCTCTCCCAAACCCGAACATCTAGAAAACAACAGGTTTTTCAAATGTGCTTGATTGATTTTCAAATTCTTGCAGCTTCAACAAAACAAATTTTGTTTGCTGCGATCCTGAACTATCTGGGTGCCCTCCCCCAGCCTGCGTCGGTACTCCACGCTGTGCCTTCATTCCAAGCCAGGGTTTCACGTGGAGAGGAGGCTTCCCTTTATTGTGTAAGGTATGAACGTGCTCAAAAGCTAACAATGAAAGGTATTAGACTACGTGGAAAAATAGTCGCAAAAAAGAAAACAGAAAGTGCTTTTCTTACTCAAAATCCCTTCACTAGGCCTGGGCAGCACTCACGTTTGAGGTAGCCCGACTGTGCGTGCCGGAAGCTGGTGGAGAGTTCCTGCAGGGCCTGCGCCAGCGAGGCCACCACGTTCCCAAGCAGCCGCCCCTCCTGCTCGGAGCAGGCCCGGGCCCGGCTCGGCAGGGCCTGCACGGCACGCTGGCACCTGTGGAAGAGCTAAGAGAACAAGCCCGAGGCTCAGGGCAAGCCTGTGAGAGAAGCCCCTCTGCTAACACTGCCATCATCACAAGCCAGAGTGAGAAGTGAGCGACTCTGTTCACTCAGGTTGGTTTACAGAAGGGTGAACAGATAAATGGAATGTGAGGCTTAATTTATACACACTCAACTCCTGCTGTGCAGGGCCTGCTGTGTGCCCAGCTGCGCACGTATCATTACATTAGATAGGCTGAGCACCCCTCATCCGAAATGCTTGGGATCAGCAATGTTCGGGATTTCAAATTTTCGGAGATTTTGGAATATTTGCAGAATACCTACTAGCTGAGCACACCAATCTGAAAATTCGAAATCCAAAATGCTCCAATGAGCATTTCCTTTGAGTGTCATATTGGCACTCTTTCAAATTTTGGAGTATTTTGGATTTCCGATTTTCAGATTAGAAATCTTCAGCCGGTACTATCATATATCATATTATTGCATTCTTCTCGTTTAATCCCTAACAAGCATCTTATGAGGATGGTACTATATTAGTCCCATTTTACAGAAGAGAACACTAGAGTCAGAAGGCTTAAATGAGAATCATGCAACTGTTAAACTGCTAAGAGCTAAGGTTCAAACATTCCAACACTCCAGGGTTTTTCCCAAAGCACCATACTCCTCTGATAATTAGCACCCAGGAGACTTAAATAAAAAATGTAAACACTGGAGTTTAAACAGGAGTCCTATTATTTTTAAATTAGTCAAATTTAATATTTTATTAAAAAAATTTCCTAGGTTACTTTTCAATTATAAGGACTATATTTTAGCATTAAAATTTCTTAACACTAGTATACAATAATATATATTTTAAAATCAAATGATTGAACTCAATCATGTTTGAAATTTCATCTTTACTTAATCAGTCCACAGTAGTATCTGCCAACAATTGAAAACCAGCCCCCACACCTCCCAGGCCTCACAGGTACCTCTGCTGACAGCTGGAGGACGTCAGGGCCTCCTGAGGTCCCTTTGAGAAATTATGGTTGGGAAGTGGACTCCAGGAGACTGATTTTGAGTAGCACCCTAGTTTTTGAGATTGCCATGAGGCGGCTGGCTGGTTTCCCCAGGACTCACTTACACACCCTCACCTGAGTGATCTCCTGGGTAGTTATCTCGATGGCGTGTTCCTCTTCACTGCTGTCATCCAGGGTGGGTCTGTTTAGATGCTTGTCATGAAGGCTGGATAATTCTTTCATCTTCTGCTTAATCCGGCCAACATCATACTGAATCTAGGCAAATGACATCACAGAACTCCACTGATGCCAGGCAGGCTATCGGTCTGCCTCTGAGACAACCAGCTACACTCCGCACAGAGTTCAGTCTTCAGCAAACTTGTTGGCTTGCTGATATGTGAGCAGCTTTTAATTCAAATTACCAGAAAATCACATAGCACTCTTCCTTGTTGCATGGGTTTTCAATTTCTTCCTATAATTCAGGTAGTTACTACCAATGTTAAAACTAAAGCAAAAATTATTAACAGACACATAGACAACTTAACCTAAAGCTAAAGTACTTCTAGGGATATACATTCAAGTGTAGCCAAATTCATTTATATGACAGACATCTTAAAATACGTTGTCATAATTACTTAAAAAAAAAAAAAAAAAAGATGGTATGAAACTATCATGCAACTTACTTCATCCACTCCATCCACCCACTTAGGAGGTGACCGTTTTGTCACTCCAATTGCTGCTTCTGGATCTAAGCTGATGCCTGACACCAGTGCCATACGGTCATCAGCAAGCTACAAGAAAGTAAAGGGACAGTAAAAAAAATTATTCCAATCCAATTTAGATACAAATACTCTTAAACCCTCTTAAATGTTGCTCCCTGAAGATACAGAAAGGAGTGAATGCACTTGCCTGTATTATAAACTTGCTTTTGGTAACTGCTACGATTTGGAATTGTTTTCCTATCTTTTCATGCACCAGCTCTTAATTTCCTTGGACATACTTGAGAACATGAATTTGACTTGATCTGGCTATAGAAATGTAATGAAAAAGTCAACAAAAGGTCCTTAAAATGAAGACCTCTTAGAACTAGTACTGTGATAGAATATCATGAACCTCAATGATTAATCTGATCAGTTACAAGTGAAAAAAGAAAACTAGGAGGTAAATGAAACGATTACAAAATGCTCAATAGTAGCAAGCTTTACTTAAATACACTTAGCTTATTTTGGAAATAGTGCTGATCCAGGTATCTCAGTCACACGATCGTTAACCACGTGTTAAAAATGTGTGAAACAACTGCCTTTATGGCTAGCAAATTATCTACCGTTTGGCAAAAGCAATCCTTACAATCTCAATGCAATCTTATACTGTCATTTCTTCAGTTAAATATCGACAGGCAATATTTCCCCTTATTTTGAAATGATACTGATGGTTCTTGTTTAACTATATAAGACACTGCTGTAGAAAGCTTCTAAGAATGGGAGGGAAATCAGCCTGGCACGGTGGCTCACACCTGTAATCCCAGCACTTTGGGAGAATGAGGTGGGCAGATCACCTGAGGTCAAGAGTTTGAGACCAGCCTGGCCAACATGGTGAAACCCCGTCTCTACTAAAAACACAAAAATTAGCTGGATGTGGTGGCTCACACCTGTAATCCCAGCTACTCGGGAGGCTGAGGCAGGAGAATTGCTTGAACCAAGGAGGCGGAGATTGCAGTGAGCTGAGATCATGTCACTGCACTCCAGCCTGGGTGACAAGAGCAAAACTCCGTCTCAAATTAAAAAAAAAAAACAAAAAAACAAAAAAAAAAACAAAAAAACAAGAATGGAAGGGCAATCATGGATTTGGCATAGTTAAGCTGTTTTCTTGCCTGCAAGCAGTGAATGGGTTGAAAAGCTCCAGAGCTCAGAATTTTTAAATGCCAGTTTCCAAAGATCCAAATGATGATCAAAATGTAATGGAAAATAGTCTATAAAAGTCCTTTATAGATAATACTTTGGAAATCGTCTAAATCACGCTGTAGAGTTGGGTGAAAATTTTTTATTCTTCTTCCCTCTTCCTTGCATTTATCTAAATTTATTTTTTCAGTCATTCAGTAAATACTTATTTGCTTTTCTAACAATAAAGGGACAAGACAAAATTTTAAAATCTACAGATGAAAAGGAGAAAATATCATATAAAGAAAAACTTAAAAGATTAAAAGAACCCTTCAAGTAATAGGCCCTAAATCCTAAAGCATTCACAGTAAAACTCTTAAAAGCAAATTAGCATCTTCACCATCAACCTCTCTGGCACACACACCCTGGGGCGGTTCTGCCACCATTGCTTCAGGCTGTCTGTGTGCTCTGGGCACATGTTCGCTCAGGGAGTGCATCTTGTGCAGTGACCACGCTGGAGGGACCAAGCCCCATTAACTGCTTGCAGCGCATCCAGGAGCCGTGATTAAGCCCACGGTGCTCAAACGTGGCACGGATGCTGCAGGCCCAGTGTCATTTCAGTTCTTAAACAAATGGTGCGTCATCCAAACCCACACTGTCCGGGGCTCCCAGGCTGTGAAGTGGTCATTCTCAACCACCACCACCTTTTGTTTGGTTTTAAGAGTCCACTAATAGGAATTTTATATTCTTTACATTATTTTAATCCTCACAAAAACTAGGTGAGCTAGAAACTATTATTTTAACCTATAAATGTGGAAATTGAAACCCAGATAAGTCACTTGCCCAAGGTCACAGAGCTCTTATGTGACAGACTGAAACCTGGGTCAGTTGACTCCAGAAACCCCTTCCACCTTAAAAGGTGCCAGTCACTCCACAGGCCCATGAACTATCACTGCCATTTGCTAAGAAAATGAATCAAGACAAGCCATCCAATTAAAACATACAGTAGTTTGATTCATTGCCCACCAACTGTACCAGGGGACTATAGGATAGGCTCCCAGTGAGCAAAGATCTTCCTCTCTTGCTGACCACCTGTGGACAGAGGAGGCCTACATGCGGCCATCAGAGGCAGACTTGCTTATTCTCCAACAATCCTGCTCCCAAGTCACCAACAGGTACACAACTCTGTGGAAGACACACTGACTACAACGCAGAGGCCCAGTTCCCAGCGCCCTGCCAACCACACATCAGGTGCTGTCTTCAGAATCATTGCTGGACTGAAACAGAACTTGAACTCCAGCCATTTATACAAAGTAAAATCTAAAATTGCTGAAATACCTCTTCGTGGGTCCTAGAATTCCCCCAAGCCAGTTTATTATAGAATCCACTATATTTTGTTATCGTCCCACTTTTCAATACAGTAATTATTTATAGTGATTTTTATAGTTTTTAAACTCACGATCTTATTTTGTACCGTTTTTATTGTTTACAAATAAACATTAAACTAAAGAAGATAGAGAGATGGTATCTATCTAAATTGACCTGCAGTGGGATTAGTATCATTTTATCTGAAACAACAAATTATAAACACATATGAAAAGTTGGTTGTGAATACAATTCTTTGAAGCAGTACTTGATTTTGTGCCATGTGTTCCCCCCAAATTAGATGTAAATCAAAAGTGGGGAGAACACACTCTTTTAGGGTCCTAAGGAAGCTTTCTAATTAAGAGATCCCTACACGAAGGGCACGGATGCCAGCCGGCTCAGCTGGTACTAGCACTCCCACATACTGTATCAGGGTTTTGCCAGTAAGAGAGAACAGTTGATTCTTTGGGAATGAAATCTTTAAATAGTGAATAATTTGTGTCCTTTATGATACAGTCTATAGCTATAGTTATGTATGTGTATAACATCATGATAAAGAAACACCACCCCACTGAGGAGAAATGTTTCATTTCTTTCATCAGTATGGATCTGTAATGTGTATCACACTATGTACTATTAAAAAAGACGACAGTATGTTTTGGGAAGGGAAAACAACTGTCGAAGATAAGTGTCAACTATTTGAAATAGGAACAAATATGGATATAAAAAATTTTAAGTGCAAAATAAGTACCCTTTTAACTTCAGAAACATCACTTCCCATTTAAAAACATGTCTTATTTGTTGAAGATCCAACGTACATATCAATTTTCAAGTTGCCATCCTATTCCATTCAGATCTTTAAAAACAGCCAGATTTCTAATGCTCTCTACTTGTTCTTGGTGAATTTCAACATGGTGCCCCTCCAAATATATGATGTTGGTTACTAAAGCTTCTTTAAAAATAACTTTGTGGCCAGGCAAGGTGGCTCATGCTTGTAATCCCAGCACTTTGGGAGGCCGAGCGGGGAGGGGCATATCACCTGAGGTTGGGAGTTTAAGACCAGCTTGACCAACACGGAGAAACCCCGTCCCTACGAAAAATACAAAAAATTAGCCAGGTGTGGTGGCGGGCACCTGATCCCAGCTACTTGGGAGGCCAAGGCAGAATTGCTTGAACGTGGGAGGCAGAGGTTGTGGTGAGCCAAGATTGCACCATTGCACTCCAGCCTGGGCAACAAGAGCGAAATTCCATCTCAAAAAAATAAAAAATAAATTTGTGCTTCTAAAGTAAAAAATCCTTTCATACTTTTAAAATAAAAATTGTACTTAAGAGAATTAAGAATTCTTGTCTCTTTGATATGTAGTTCCTCTCTCCAAGAACTACTAGGGTCTGCTAGCCTAACCCAGAGTCATCCTTCCTGAGAGAAATGCAAAGACATTTCAACAGATGTTCAAAACAGCACAGCCCAATTGCTTTCCTGCCAGTCTCACTAAAGGGATCTTTTGCACTTGCTCCACTTTAGATATTGACATTTATCCCTTTAAAGAGTACTAGCCAGTATGGACAAGTTCTCGATCTATGGAAGAACATACACACACTCTCTCTTATAAAATCTAGCTGTTCCAAATCTACGGCCCTTCTACTGTTAAAAACCCTGCCTTTCCCTAAAGGCTGATTTAGTGTAGCCTAAGATTACAGAACTAGGAAAGGCTCTGTGGAGACTGGAAAAGTCAGATACACCCCCTTAGTTGATCCCTAAAAAAATCAACTAAGCTTAGCCATAACACATTGGTATTGAGAACAATACTGATAATTCTGTACTATCTATGGCAATGAACATTTAAAAAGTCCAGAAGGGACACTGAAAATCAACAGACTGGCAACTCACATTCCAGGTGAAACTCTGGGAGCATGTATGATAAAGTCAGAGCACTTTGCTAATAAGACAATTAGGCTTCGGAAATCTCAGTTGCTGGAAAAAGGAACAAGCAAGTGGATAAAAGAAAAAGGCAATGTCAGCACTACATTTTTCTAAACCTGTGTTAATTTTAAAATAATGCTTACTTTTTCTGATTATGAAATTAATAAATTGTCAAAATAAATACTTTTAAAATGGTATAGGATGGGCGCGGTGGCTCACACCTGTAATCCTAGCAATTTGGGAGGCAATGGTGGGCAGATCACTTGAGCTCAGGAGTTCAACACCAGCCTGGGCAACATAGCAAAACCCCCTCTCTACTAAAAAATACAAAAAATAACTAGCCAGGCGTGGTGGCCCACACCTGTAGTCCCAGCTACTTGGGAAGCTGAGGCAGGAGAATTGCTTGAACCCAGCAGGTGGAGGTTGCAGTAAGCTGAGATCACACCGCTGCACTCTAGCCTGGGTAAGAGAGCAAGATTGTCTCAAAAAAATAAATAAAAATAAACAAAGAAAATGGTACAAAAAATAGAGAGATAAAATACTTGAGAATCACATCACACTGATACTGTTGTCAGCGTGGATTTTCCTTTTTTCTCAAGTAACATATACTCTCTTGGGAGAAGAAAAAAGGGAGCAATCTGTCCCTCCTTGCCTTCTCTGAGCACTGTACTGATGAGCACTGCTACTGGCCTGGCCCACGCTGGTCCCAATAACAACCCTTCAGAGGGGTGCCACTCCCTACTTTACCAACACGGACAATGGGGCCCAGCCCAGCCTCTCCCAGATGGGCACCAATCACCCGTCCTCAGGAAGTGTGGTTTGGGGGCTTAACATTTATATCTTGTGATTTTAAAAATAATTCTTATCTCGAATTTAAAAACTCCCAAACGTGGGGGATTTCTTTGTCATAAGATGAGAAGTAGATTGAAGACAGAGAGCAAAGGAGAGGGCCAGACACTTCCCTGGGTAAAAGAACCAAGGGTGGGCTCAGCTGCCTCCTCAGGAACAGCTTACTTAGTGTTTTCTGAGAAGGAAAAGTGACATCTCCAGGGTACTTAGGCTGGAGGAGGAGAATGACAATCAAACATGGACTGCAAGAAGCCTCTAAGCGAGTGGGGGCGTCAGATGCCTTTACTCTGGGAGGCGCCAGTGATACGCATTCAGGGACATTTGCACATGCCTCACCTATAAAGCGGTTGCTACCATCTAATCCACTCTGGAGCTGGGTATTTACTATGTCTAGGAGATGCCAATGCAAAGGCATGCTTCAGCTTCAAAGAAGCCTCTGGACTGTCCCCAGCCACACCCCCAGCTCCTAGGCCAGTACCTGACACTGCAGAGTCCTGAATGCACAATCACACCCAGCTGAGTGAGCCGACAAGAAACGAGTGGAATGAATCAACGAGGTAAATAAAATGTACGTCACAGACAATTCTGGAAGCTACACTTCATGAAAAAGATAATGGTGCTGGACAAAAGAGCAAAAGGGGCAAGTGAAACGCACAAGGAAATGAGGAGGCCATGGCCGCCCACACTGAGGCAGCAGCCTGCATTTCTGACAGCACTGGGGTGCGCGGGGGGAGACAGTGCTCTCTGCGCAGGGCCTCTGATCACATAGCCTGAAGACTCTTTTAAGCCCTCAGAGGTGAAGCATAAGAAAATCAGGAGGGCCTGCCAAGTTCATGCAGTGAGTAGCCAGTTTCTGGAACTTGCTGCCTGAAAAAGGAAGTAGAAAAGACTGGAAATTGGTTCAGACAGCAGACCCGAAGTAATTATGACCACTTATGTGCCCCTCCTTGGAACATTATTCAAATGCTTCTTCAGCCTAAGTGGTTCCATAATTTGTTACCCTCCCCCGCACCCTATACACTTCTTTTGAGGTCATAAGCTCCATATCTTCAAACTGTTCAGCCAGGAGCAACATCAGTTTTAACACAGAATGCCTGTTCTCCAAGCCCCCAAGCCTTAACATTTTTAAAGACTGGTCAGCAAATCCATCCACTTCCACTGTACTCCAGAGATCCCTACCTTCATGTGTTTGAGCTGGGCCCTCTCCAGGGCCCAGTGCCCAGATGGTATGCTGGCAGTGAGGTTCCTGAATGGGACAAGAAACCCCCACACAGGCATGATCATGACACCTGGCTCAGTCAGCTACCAGCTTAGTGGTTGTTATTTAAACTAATTGTTTTTAGTGGCAAAGTATACATGTACATGTTTAAAAATACATATCCACCCTAAGAAAAGGGTTTGCAATAGAAAGGAAGTTTCTCTTCTATCCCAGATGTTTCTTGGGGTGTATCCACTGTTAACGGTTTCTTATGTGTCTTTTCAGGAATTTTTTAAGCACACACAAGCATAAATATGAGTTATTATTCCTGAAAACAACAAAAAGGAACAGGAATCACATTATCCATGCTACTCTGCATCTGGGTCTTTCTACTCCGCCACGTGTCTGGGGCTCATTTCACTGCAGATCTCATGGTGAGCCTCATTACGTACCCGTTACAGAGGATCAGAGATGCTACACAATTTATTTAACCAGTTCCCAATGAAGGATATTTAGGCTGTGCTCACTTTGTTGTTATTATCAATAATTTTTTTTTTTTTTTTTTTTTTTTTTTTTTGAGACAGTGTCTCACTCTTTTTCCCAGGCTGGAATGCAGTGGCTCAATCTCCGCTCACTGCAACCTCCACCTCCTGGTTGTCAAGCAATTCTCCCGCCTCAGTCTCCCGAGTAGCTGGGACTACAGGCACACGCCACCACGCCCAGCTAATTTTTTTCATATTTTTTTAGTAGAGACAGGGTTTCACCATATTGGCCAGGCTGGTCTCGAACTCCTGACCTTGTGATCCGCCCGCCTCAGCCTCCCAAAGTGCTGAGATTAGAGGGGTGAGCCACCATGCCCGGCTAGTAGTTAAGGTTTTAGAATTTATAGGTAGATCTGAATCTACTAGTTAGGACCCCACTGGTTTTAAAAACAGTGATCCTAATCCTACTTTACTCTTCTCACTTCTAAATTAAAACAAACAAGAACAACCCTCACCTCTCCATTACTCTGTTTAAAAGGGCTATACTCAGGAAAAACATTCTTACCCTTTCAGTGCTGAAACAGACAACAGATACAAACATTAACAACAGTTTAATCTTATTCTTTCTCAACCCTTTTACTAGGGCTACTAAAATAAAATGCTTTGAATATATACTCTCTCCACCGTCTGGGCAAGATGCTACTAGTTAATAAAAAGGCCAAAGGCTCCCCCAGCTAGGAGATGCAGAACTGGGCCCAGGTGACAATAGCTCCAGGTGCATCCACAGGGTGTCAATTCATTCCAGACAGGAGTGACCAGGAAGACCCTCCCACAGTTGCCATGGCTACAGTCCTTCTCATTTAGGGCCTTCACAGACACCCTGACCTTCTATACTGTCTACATGAGCAAGTGCACGACTCATCTCTCAGAAATCAGGAAGCTACAGACATAATTCCCAAAACATTCTGGCTTCTTGAAAAAAATGTTCAACCTTTACTGCTTCTAAAGTTGACACTTTCCCAAAAGTAGTAAACAATGTTCCCAAAGCCTTTTCCAAATCATCGGTTCACATAGTGTGAAAATATACTAAATTCTAAATATTAAACTGTTAAAAACAATTATAAAGTAATCAAAACAAATGCTAAAATATTTATAAGCTCTCAGCATTTTATATATGAGCAAAGACTTCAGGAAAAGCAGGTATTTTATAAACTCAAATTACTCAACATATAAAAATATTCAAAACACAATACCTCGTCCAGCTCCTGAAGAGACATGTTGTTCCCATCAGTCCCATCCAGTTAGGGAAAGCAAAAAGAAAGCAGCATGGGACAGACAGACAGACAGACAAGGCATGGTCAGTTGAGAAAACACTTGAGATTTTAAGCTGACTAAATATAAAGATCCACTAAGCAAGGCATTAAAAAAAAAAACTCCTTTTGATCTTCCTTTTTAAAAATAAGCTTAAAAATCAATATATGCTTTTATTTTTATTTACTGTGGTTGTTTTGAAAATGAGCTAGGATTTAAACAAGCAAAAAATGGTTGTAAATATTAAAATACACTGGAAACATATAAAACAAACTTGCTTTAGTTTCACTAAAATATGCTGTTAATGTGTTTCATAAATACCAAATATCACATACAATACCACATTTTAAATTTCCCTTAGGAAAATAAGAGAGCAGAGCTACAATGTAATTTTATCATATCAAATAAATGTATATTTTAACATGTAAATCAGACCTGCAAATGCAACAAAATTTAAAAAATGAACGACACACAAAAATTGTCTGAGCTGTATTCAGACAACATGTGAGTGACCACATATGTAAGGCCTCTGCAAATTACATCCTGCAGACACAGCTCCATCCCCGATAATAAGAGAGCCGAGAAACCACTCTTTCCCGGAGAGAGACACAGGTGGCAAAATAAAAGAAAAACTCTTACCATTTCTTGGTATGTATTATTATTAGCTAGAAAGCACAGTTATGTATAAAGCTCTTATAAAGGCAAGCAAACAAGACAAAACAAAAGGTAAGAATAATTTTTTTTTCTTTTAAGGGGAGTGGGAAGGGAGAAGCATGACACCAGAGGGTTAAGTTTCAATTTAAAACTAAAGATTCTTTTTCAGATCAACATGGAACTCTATCTTCTGGACAGACATTTACTAATGACAGGTAATCTAAACGACTAGGTTTTCTTTTGGTACAGTATTGATCACTGAAATAATTAGTGGTGAAATTCAACAATCAACTGTTTTTTTATGGTTAGCAGTAAATTTAGAAAATAAAAAAATAGCTTTCTTATTTAAAAATTAATAGTGTAAATGAAGCTGCTCTATCAGGGTCAAAATATTATTAAACAATGATAGCAATAAAAATGTAATCAAACTTTACTCCATGTGAAAATTCAATTAGATGACATTATAGAAAGCTGAAAATCCTCTTCATTCCTTCCATAATTTGCTATGAGAGCAAAAAAGAACTCTATCTATATACACACCCTGCCATAATAGTAGTACTAGACGATATTAATAAAGATAGTATCAAATGGAAATCTGATTTAATTACCTTTTACTTTACAAAGAAATTGTTTTTTTATTTTTTAAAAGCTTAACATTAAGAGAACATTGAAATCTTTTATTAATAAAACATGTAGCACAACAAAACCCCTAACTTGAGTATCTCAGTCTCCTTCCTATTCTGCAGCGGCTCCTTAGCATTTAATCTGTGAACGATGTACTATTAAGCCTCCGTTAAAATCTCTGCGGCACATGTGCCTATGCTCTTGGATTATTAACCCAGCACACACACCCTGATCTTCTGATTTCTACAATTACTAGTTGATAAGAGGTGAAATCAGAATGATGGGATTCTAGGGCTAGAAATAACTCTTTTCTTACAAATAAGAAAACTAAGCTTCAAAATGTAGAACTGCACTGCTGGAAGGCACAGAGCTTGCTAATGGTCAGAATGGGGACAGACCCAGGTGGTTCAGGTCTCTTTCCACCCCACCCTCCAGCCTCTCTAATTTTATTAACAATTCGGGGAATTGCTTGTGATAGGCAGCTACCACCACATCAGGAATATTAAATTCAGGTCACCTTTTCAAAGACCCTCCCCACCACTCTGCTACTTAAAAATAGAAGGCTTTCAAAACTCTGCCTGCCACCAATTTACCAGGAAATTTAGTCAAAACCTGAATTAAAACATTTAGAATTACCATCAGGAAAGACCAAAATACAGCCAAATGAAAACACGTTACTCCACATCATCACCTTCTAAATCTTCCTAATGTCTAAATCTAGGTTTCTGACCTGCCAAGGGCATGCAATCAAGCAAATACTGAAAACTCCAAGCAGCATGTGGAATTTATAGTCTAAAGAACTTTCTACATAAAACTGAAAAATAAGTGGAAACCCATCTGTGTTTACTCAGGAAGTCTGGAAAAGTTGAGCAAAATGAGTTGGAAACACAGGTCTATGCTATAGTGATATTTACTTTATTTCCGTTACTGCCAAAATAAAAGTTTGCTTCACTTTGATCCAACAAAGTACCCTTATTCTCAAAGTAAGCCTCACTGCTCCCATGGAATCTTTAAAAGCAGAAAAGCAAGTAGATCTAAAGAGAAATATATAATGATTTCATAGTTGGATTCTAAAGACAGAACTTATTTTCCAACAGACTCAGCTTGGACTAAAACTTAGAGCCTTCAATCTGCAAGTTAAAACAGGCTATGTGAGGTTGTAAAGTGAGATAAAGAAAGATGCTAGCCTACTGCAAGAAAAAAAAATTGTTTTAAAACAGTAGGTCCTTCCATTTTCCAGGATCTGCAGCACAAGTTCTGAAAATGCAGCCAACGCCAGAATGGCCCAGGAGGTGAGCACGGGGCTCTGAAGCCAGGTGTGCCAGAGTTCCAGTCACAGCCCCCAACTCATCAGGTGGGTGACCCTGGGTCAGTTTCCTACCTCCTCTAAAATGTTTTCTTATCTGTATCTGAGAAAAACAATAGTACTTATTTGATAGAGCACTGTGAAGCTGAGCTGAGCTTACACATGGAAAGGGGTTAGCCCAGAGCCAAGCACATAGTAAATTCTCCATAAATCTTAGCTAATATTGTAGTCAAGCCTGAATAGGGACTTCAGGTTTCCTATAACCATAGTTAATCCTTAATTTCTTTTTTTTTTCCTAAAGCACACATTTTATTAAAAATAATGTGCTTAAGTTTCAAACTAATCTAAGACCAATTAACTCTAGCTCCCAATTATAGAAATCTAAGACCAATTAACTCTAGCTTCCAATTATGGATTATGCATTATTTTAAAGCAGAGTATAGATTAGGCAGTAAACACTAACAAAGTAGCTCCAGCCCCCATATCAGATCCATTCCAGGCAATCGAAGGAAACCACACAAATCCACACAGAATTTCATCAGATCACAGGAGCATCTTAACATCTATCTTTCATTCATTTCTGACTTTACAATTTTTTTTTTGAATGATTGTTTAGCTTCATAAATCCATTTCAGCTTCCTAAAGCCAAGCTGCTTCCTTAAAACCTGCCCTTGGCTGGTATGATAATGTGAAAGTAACTTTTGCACAGTACTGGGGCTACTTCTAAGGAGTTTTGTCAGTAATTTTGGACTGACAGCCACAACATTGTTGACTATGAATTTCTCCTTTTCAAATTAAAGTGAAAGTCAGGAGAAACAATGTATTAAAACAGAAGTTGAGAAAATACTGTTGAATTGATAGGGCCGCTAGAAATCATCTAACTCAAACCCCTCAATTTACAAATGAGGCAAAAGATGTCCAAAAAGATGAAAAGCTTGCCTGAGGACACATTGTGAGCTTGCGGCAGAACAGGACTCCGGCCTCAATTCTCAGATTCAATTCTCAGTGCTCTTTCTTTTATTTCATGCTGCCCTGAGGCATGAACGTGACAGGGCACTCAAAACTGAGGCCAGAGCAAGATGCAGGAGAAATATAGCTGCATTTGTAGGAGTGTATGAAGTCGAACCCCACTCTGTTTTTAAGTTAGTTTTACTAACATTAATACCACTAAGAACACAAAAAAGTACAGTTTTGTTCAGTTCTGGGTGCTGAACTTTAAAAAGGATACAGAAAAACTAAACATCATTTATAGGAAAGAAACTGAACAACTCTGAGCTGTGACTGCTAAGCCTGGAAAGAACTCTGGGTAACAAGGCTGTGGGATTGCCAGAAAGATGGAATACCCTAGGGGACAGAACTAAAAGCAGGACCCCAGGACACAAATAGTTGGGATTAACAGGCAAAGACTTTTTGGTGGTAAAAATCATGGAGCTGTTGACATTTCCCATCATTGTCACAGAACGGGGCCAAAGAAAACGGGCATAAGGGGTTATCACAAATGGAGACGCTGGGCCAAATGACCTTTAGGTCCCTTCTGGCCCGTGAGACGTTGTGTTCATCTGGTCACTGCGTATTCCTCCTTAAATTCCTGTTTATTTGACATATTTGCCTGAATGCTGCAAAAACCTGTATGCACGCACAGGTTTCACCACAGCAACCAACATCTTTTCCCTCCAACTAGGATGCAAAAAAATGCTTGTTTAACGCGGTTTTAGGTGGGCTTTGCTTTGAGGTGTGAGATACACACTACTCTGCAATCAATTTCTGCAGCTTTTGCCTCAAATAAAGACGTCAAAATTTAGGATTACAATTTTTTTTTAAAAGTCTTTTATTGTAGGCCTATTTTTAGTTTGTATCAAATGCCTCAAGATCAAAGTCTACGGCCTTTTCTTCCAATCAGAAACTTAAAATTCCAGGTTATATTATTTTTTTAATTAAGTTAATCTCAGGTTTAGTTACTTCCTTTTAAATTGCCTGAGTGTTAGAAATATATTTACAAATTGTCTTTTTAACCTACTATAACAAATATATTTAAGTTTCTATTTAAAAATTTTCAAACATGCAGAAAAGCCTATAAAATGGTAAAATGTCCCTTACATACACATCACTAGACTCAACAATGAGTAACAATTTGCCTTATTTCTTTCCTCTATTTTTGGAGGGGTTAAGACGCCTCCACGTTTTACCTCTAAACATTTCAGTACGCATCTCTAATAAAATTAGCAAATTTAATTTATCATAATTAATTTAATTAATAGTTCCTTAATGTCACCTAATACCGAGTCCATATTCAAAATGACAGGTACTGTATTGTTTGATTTGCTACACGGCTTCGAAATTTACAAGTCAGAAACAGAGGCTTTAAATTTTTTATGAGCTAGATATGCAGTGAAAAGCATTGCTAAGAGTTAATACGGTTTTTACAAATTGTGTTAGACATGCCTTTTGCTCCAAAATGTTTATAAAGCTTTTCCAACTTCTAGAAAAGTTGAAAAAAATCGTAACCTCTACTTAGTCCTGTTAGCATTTTGCCGTATTGTGTGCAGAAACAGATTTCATAATCACCTGTAAACAAAGTGAAGATTTAACACTTCACTCCTAAACACTTCGGTAATTTATGACATGTCATCTTTTTTAAAACACACACAATTAAAATATATAAATCTGTGTTTTCTTTTTAAATTTAATTCGGGCAAACTATGTTTGTTAGACTGCAATACCTATTTTTTAGATAGTATGGACTGATTATAAGGATATTTTAAATTATATGACTGCTTTCAATGATCTGAGAAGGATTTTTAAATGGTCAGACTAATATAAACATTTTCAATGGTACGACATTGAGAAAACATTCTTTAATGCTGACTTAGAAACGTATTTTTAGTTGGGTTTAGAAATCTATTTTCAAAAAACTGAGTCAGCTAAATATATCTGTATATATCCTGACATATTTTTCAAACTGTATACTTTAGCTATCCATTTTTAATTATTTTGTTTAGCTTAAATATTTTTTTAAAATTGCCTAACTTAGAAAATAATTTTCTAAAGTGGTTTGATTCAGAGATGCACTTTTAAAAAGCTTCCAGTCTCAGCTACTAGGTTTTTAAACTGTCTGACTTAATGGTCAAAAAAACAAAAACAAAAAAACCTCATGTTACCCAAAGGTTCAGGGTATTCTGAAACTTAATGATTAAAAATTGAAAAATAAACAGTATGTTTTTCAATCAATTAAAACTGATACCTTAAAAATCTTAATGAGTTTCAGCTGTTTTTGAGGCAGCACAAAATCAAGTCATTTAAGGAACATGCAGTTCTTATTTTATGTTACTCAAGTTCCACTGATGAATTGTATTCATCCAATTTCTACTCTATTTCTTGGCTGATTTCAGTATACTCTTTAAAATCAGCACTAGAATTAGCCCGTTTCTATGCTACCAGACATCTTTACATTTACTTCAATATAATGCCATTACTTTCCTTTTATAAATGTAAAAAAAAAAAACCTTCAGCTTCTTAACTGAAATCTCACACATGCCCTGTCCCTGTTTCTACACTTTTTTGACCTGAGTGTACATGCTTTTATTCCTGAAGCCGCTCACATGGCTTAAAATCACTTTTCTATGAGTGATATGGCCAAAGAAATTTTCCACTTGTGACTTACAAAAAGGAAAAACTGTCTTTGTAGACATGATAATCATGACACAAGGCATAATTTTTCTTAAGCATTTAGATAAAGTAATAAAAAAAAAAAATGACCTGGCAATATAGTCCCTAAGAGGTTAAATAAATATGGGGTTTCCAAAATTGCCTATTTCAAGTATAATCAATCCCCAAGAATGTGGTCCTGGGCTATTCCCCACCTGCTCCAACGCTGCTTCTATTCCAGCCCAGCCTGCCTACAGCAGGTGGTCCGCACCACAACTGGTTCCCTAACTTCACTTTGCAAGTGAAGACATTACAGAGCTAATGATCACTGTCTTGTATAGATCATCTAGACTCGCCCCTTATTTAACAGAATAGTAAACTGAGGCTCACAAAGGGAAAATTAATGATAAAAAACAGTAATTTTTCCAGGACCACCCTTAAAAAAACGCTACTGCTAAGCTTTGGTTCTGGTTAATTTTAAAAAAGAAAGTGCTATTTTAGGGGGTTAATTTTCACATATACCTGAGGCTTTTTAAAAAAAGTTCGAATGGAGAGGAAAGCTTAATTTCCCGTCTGGGAATTTCAAAGTGAAGAGGCTAGCACCTTGAGTCTCACAAAGGCAAGCCCCTAGGAAGAACAGTGAAGCAATTATTCATAGGGAACATGGCCACGCAGAGGGCTGCGAAGCCGTTAAAAGAAAACGGGCAGAAAAAAAAACAAAACAAAACAACAACACAACTCCTTCCTCTTTGGGGGGAGGGAGTCGTTCAGTTGCAAGGATTTGGGTCTACGATCCCGCCACCCAGCTATTAGAACCAAACTGAGGCTTACTATTGGGGGGAGGGGAGCCTCAAACAAAACGAAACAAAAAGGCTTCGGAAAGCCTCAATGCTTCCCAATGTTAGCGTTAAAACATATGTAAATTACAGGCGGCCTGTCGCGCAGTGACGCCAAGGCGGGGGTTGGTGGGGGGGTGCTGCGGAAGTGAGGAGAGGACCAGGCAGAGGTGGAGCTGCGCCTCCTAGCACCGCTTCTTCCCCCTCCAGGGTTACAGATGCCCCGAGTCTAGCCAAGAGATCTTACTAATCTTAGTCTTATTATTCTTATATATATATATTTTTTTTTTTTTTAAACAGAGAGACAGACAGAGACAGACAGACAGGCAGAGCCGCAGTGCACACCGTGCGTGTGTCGGAGAGGCCGCCGGGAGACTCACCGCAGCAATGCTACGTGAATGCAGAGGGCTGGAGGTGGTGTGACTACTCACTTGCTCGGCTAACAGCTGCCGGTTTTGGATGGAATTATTCCGCAACAACAAGAAAGCGTCGGTTAAACGCCTGGTGGCCATGTCTCACCCTTTGTGACCCCCTCTCAGGGGCCCCCCGCCCACTTATAGTCCTGATTTATTCACTTTTTTTCTCTTGGCCCGGCCGGCCCACCCTTTCACAGAAGCTTCTCGACGAGGCCTAAGGCCTCAAGCCAAAAAGGCGCAGCTTTGCGCTTCGCCAAAGCGCAAAGACCCCTCCCCAAATAACTACCTAGGCTTTCCAATTGTCTGACTCCCCCTACCCAGGGCCAGACTTCGATCTCTAAGCACTTGAATCCCCCCAATCCTTGAGTAGCGAGCCAACGTCCCAGAGACCCCACCCCAATCCAACCTTGGATCTACAAGCGTCTAACTCGCCAATCCGGCTGTGGACTGGGAGGCCCTGAAGCCCCCTACTCTCTGAGACCCCCGAAGGTCCTTGCGCTCTACCCCTAAGTTGGCTCGTAAACGTCTAGGCCGTGCCCTGAGGTCTGGCTGTGACTCAGTTTCCCGACCAGAGGCCTGGCCTAGGCTCTCTTTGGACAACCGGGGCAACGCCTGGGCCCTGGACACCAGGGCGCCTGCAGCTCCCTTCTCGGGCTGGGCCTTGTCTGAGCCTGCTGAGGCTCTGCCCGACCTCCTGACCCCTTCCTTTCCTGGGCGGCCTGGTCCTCCACTGACAGCAGGCTGCCTGCCTGCAAGAGGACAGCAGGGCCTGCCTCCCCGGCCTTCTCACTCCTCTTCTCCGGCTCCCTCCATCCCCGGATCTGACTGCAGCTCAGCCCCGGGCCGTTTCCGTGCTGTGGTCCCGGGTTCTGGCGTCCCCCCTGGCCCTCTTCCTGTCCGTCCCTCGCGAGTGCCCCCCTGCGACGCTCGGAAGCCTTGCTCGCAACGTTCCGGGCGCGGGAGCTCCCTGCCCCCCTGCCCCAGGGCACGGGAGTGCTCCGCCCTCTCACGGGGTGCTCCTTGGGCGCCCAGTTTCGGCTTCCCCAACTGGGCCCAGACACTAGGAATACGCCAGCGAGCAGGCCCGAGCATGGGGAGCGTGGCCCCCACGCTGCGAACCGCTGCCAGGGTCTTTGGCCCCTGCATTAGAGTGGAAGTTGTGCGGCAGGCAAATTTGGGCTCCCCTGGAGCCGAAGTTTTGGGCGCGGGGAGTTGGAGCGGGAGAGGAAAAGTTGGAGACGACTGCCTCTGCAGGCCGAGCACGCTCCACTGCAGGCGGCGCTCGCTTTTTTTTTTTTTTTTTTTAAACTCTGAAAAAAGATGTATCCGAAAAACAACCAGGAGAAAAAAAAAAAAAAAAGGAAAAAAGGAAGCGAGAGCTCCAGGGAGCCTGGCCGCGCCGCCGCCGGCAGTCCGGGGTCGTTGGAGGTGTCCGCCCTCCCCGGCTCCCGTTTTCTATAGGGGGCACTGCAGGTCGTGGAATCTCCAGTGGAAAAGTTCCCCGAAAACTTTGGCACCTCCCACCCCACTAGCCCCCAGGAAAAACTCTGTTCCCTGCCTGCTCCTTGGCCCTGCACCTTGCGCACCCCGGCTTGCCGCCCCGGGCCAGGTCGGCGGGGTTCGGGCGGTGGCTCCGCGGGGCCGGGTCGAGCAGGGGCCCAGAAACAGGCGGCCGCCCCGCCTCGGAAGCCCGGGTCCGGCCCGGAGGCCCGAGCCCCAGGGCCTGGCCCAGTGCGCGGCTTGAACGGGTCGGGGGCGCAGAGCCGTGCGGGCCCCGGGCCTGTGCAGGGCCGGCTTCCCCTCTCCGGGCTCCGCCGTGGGGTTCCAACAAAGGACCGCGGCCCCAGAAGCGGCTCCCACGCGTCCTTTGTTTCTGCGTGGAACAAACTTTACACACGTGTGTTCCGAGTGCTTCCCGGGTGCTGAGCACCTGCAAAGCGGAGTGGCGCCCTCGCGGGGAGACGCGGCTCGCCCAGAGACTGCGGCACCCGTGGGGCGTGGGCGGGACCCCCCAGGCGACCGGGGGAAGCGCTGGCCGCCCCCCCCTCCATGTGCTTTTTCTCGCACGGAGAATGTTCCCGCGCGTTCATTGTGCAACTAAAAATGAATGTGAAATATGTCCATTGAGGCAAGTAAAACGCAAACAACGAAACCCACAAAATCGAGAGAGCCGCGACCAGGGGCTGGGGGGTTCACTGCGAGGACCGGCTTCGGCTTCCGCGCTGCGCGGAGGGAGGGCGCTCGCCCGGGGACGCTTCGCGGCGGTGGAAGATTCGCGCGACAGGGGGCCCGGCCGCCGCGCGGGCTCGCAGACAGCGGCAGCCTCCCGGGCGGGGCTGGGGCCTGCAGGGGCGCGCAGACTGCCCCTCCGAAGACACAGGCCTGGGGAGGGAAATTCTGGGAGCCCATGTGCTCAGCGCAGCGCCCCGGGAAATACTTGCCCATAAGGACGAGTTGTGTCCTCGCACCGTAGCAGATCCCCCCCAGCGAGCTCTGACCCCAGTCGCACGGCCAAGCCCCCTGTCACCCTCCCCTCCCCGCCACCCCCGCCCCCGCTTCAGGGGACGGGTATTTGTAAATAACAGCTGAGCTGCTCTTCGGGAGGAGAATCAGATTAGAAACACGGTCTCCACGCTGTTCTATCTCCTCGGCTCTCATCACCTCGCAAAGCAGGGGGACTTGTTTACCTTTCCTGCCGCTGTCCCCCAGGCTAGAACCTGATCTTCTTCCTACACAGGGACCGTGTTTTATTCATCTTTGTACCCACTGCCATCTCATCTGGCTGGGAACAGGCTCGGGATAAACATTTTTTAAATATGTACTTGAATGAATGAGAGACCCGAGATTGAATCCCCAACCTGTCTGACCTCCCTCTAGTGACTTTAAGCCTTTAGAGCCCTTATCTGTTAAGAAAGAAAAAAAATGTGAGTTTTTCATAATCCTGGTAATCCGTGCCCTGTCTACCTCTCTGGAGTTATTGTGAAGATCAAATAAGATAAGTGAAAACGCTTGGTAAACTACCAGGTGCTGAACAAATGTTATATAGGATGGTTATTCATTCATTCCCTCCGTTCAGGAAGCTTAACAGAGTAATTCCTGGTCTTGTGTTTCAGCAGATGGTGGTCGCCTTTCCTGGTCAGTCTTAAATATTTATTACAGGACAATCTCATTCTTACATTTAGGAAATCAATCAAGCTTCCATCTCTTTGGGCGAAATGAACACTGCTTGCACACATAAATAATGGAAGAAAAATCCTCGTATTCCCAAAACAGCCACCCCAGGCAACCCAAGTGTCCAACAGCAGGGAGGTCATGAAAATCCAAGAAACTAGCATAGTAGCCCAAAGGTAGCACCGTGCAGCGATAACTAGGCTGTGTCTAGGTACGGGCTTGTGTGCCTGAAATACTGTTAGTGAAGAGGAAGCTCAGACAGGACATGCACCCCTGGCCGCTGCCATGTCCGTGTTCTCCCTGACCTACACTGGAAGGGAGCTGGGAAGGATGGAAATCATTACATTTGAATGTTCGTTGGCTGTTTTATTTTCCTGTCAAGTGGCTTAAGCTTGATTTTCTTTTCTTTTCTTTCTTTTTTCTTTTTTTTTGAGAAGGAGTTTTGCTTTTGGTGCTCAGGCTGGAGTGGAATGGAGCAATCTCGGCTCACTGCAACCTCCGCCTTCCAGGTTCAAGCGATTCTCCTGCCTCAGCCTCCCTACTAGCTGGGATTACAGGTGCGCGCCACCATTCCTGGCTAATTTTTTGTATTTTTACTAGAGATGGGTTTTCACCATGTTGGCCAGGCTGGTCTCTAACTCTTAACCTCAGGTGATCCGCCTACCTCGGCCTCCCAAAGTGCTGGGATTACAGGCGTGAGCCGTTGCACCTGGCCTTTTTTTTTTTTTTTTTTTTAAAGCATTCCGCCAAGTCCAGGTATGTGTTTCCCTGGAATTGAAATCCAGGTTGATGGCCATATGTTCTAAAAGCTTTCACCGTGTCTCGTTCTTGGCCTGGGCCAGGATTCTGTAACACTCCTAGGGCTTGCTGAGACTCAGTGTTCTGTTTCTTGGGCTTCGTACCCACTTTCTAACATTTTGCCAAGAATCCAATAAGTCATTTTTGGGGACAAGGGTTTCATTGTTTTCTTGCCATCTTATTCATTGCAGAAGGGAACCCCAATGAAGCCAAGCCATGGCTGGAGCAGAGGCAGGTTCTCAAGTACTGAGGGGATGGTTAGCACAACAGACCAGCAGTGGGGGACACACCCTTTGGTGAAAACAATTTAAATGAGACAGGACTTGTGAAGCCCTTATGGGAGTTCAGCATAGAGTAAGTGCTCCACAAATGGGTAATGTCATTTATCACAACAGTAGTCTTGCTGTTGGAAAGCTCCCGTGGGCTCTGCTCTCCCTGGAAGGCATCATAAACTCCAAAGAGAATGGCATGGTATTGAGAACGGAACACTTGGAAATCTAAGCACATTTCCAAGATTCTTGTTCTGGAGCTTGGGAATCCAGATGTGTCTGCAATGCATTCTCATGTGGAAGAGGGGGTTAAACAGTCTCAAAGACAGCTTTTAACATTGGCCTTTTTCTTACCTATAGAAAGACAGATGGTTGTTCATTTATCAAGCAGCAAAAGCCCTTGAGCCTAACGCATGTCTTGTCTGCACAAATCTGACATAACAGGCAGATATGGGGCTAGGTTCAGGTAACAGGAGGTGTGTGTTCTGTGTCACCAAATAGTTCCTCAAAACCTTGAGTATTTTCAACAACAGAAAATTCCCAATCTGGGTCTGTCTTCAGCTATGACGCCTCTTCTAGGAAGGAAGACTCTGGAGAGAGGCAACAATTTTGTTTTGTCTGGACTCCAGTCGCTTTTAATACCAGACAATTCAAGACAGTAGGCATTTCTAAAAATCTACCAGTGGCTGTGCCTATCTCTTGCCAGTCACTGCTAAAAGAATGAAACAGAGCAAAACTCTTGCCTTCAGGGAATTTACAACTCTACTGTCTCTGCCCAAATTCTGGTTCTCATCATGTAGATTTTTCCAGGAGCCTGCTAGCAACCACCCATCTCTTCCCTCCTCATCCTGCAGCTTCAGTGACCTTTCCAAAGCACAAATCTGATCGTGTCACTGCCTGACTGAGGTCACGAAACAGCTCCCTCTGGCCCATGCCAGCCGATCTCAAATGACACTCAGCAGAAAACAGGTGCTATCTAAGCTGAACCAAGCTGGGCATCACTAATATTAACTAATGATGGTCTTTTCTTGCTTGGCAGAAAAAAAAATGAAGTGAATTGATGCAATAGTCTCCATCTTAAGTGTTTCTCCCCTTACTTTCTCTTAAACTGTCAATCCCTGCTACCACTTAGCTGTATTAGAATATAGTGTAAGACTAGATCTGATTTATTCCAGAATCATGGATTTCATCACAATTTTTTTTCATATATCTCAGTATTTCTTGGAGTTCTGCATTTAGGTTTTCTATGCTCTCCACTTGGTGGAGTGCCTCCTGGGCACTCAAAGCCCTGCCCAACAGGCCCTACCCAAATGCTGAGCTTTTTCCTTTCCAGGATTGGCTCATGGGCCTTTCTCTGCCTGGTGGGGGGCGGGGAAGGGGGGGTGTGTCTTGTCCCTTCTGCTTGGTGAACCCTTCCTTTAGGACTTAGCACCCCCACTGTCGGCTGTAATACATGTTTGCAGAATGGATGAATGGATGGATTGATGCACAAAAGATGAGATTAAATGTATTAGGTGCTAGAGAACACCAGACAGTCAAGACTCAAAATGGGTGGAGAGAATAGGGCAGTTCCCTGTCCCCTCACTCACCCCTTTTCAGCCACACTGTCCTTCTCACTGTTCCTCACACCTCCTTAGCACCTGCTATGCCCTCCTTCCTGGGTTCTTCAAATAACTGGCTCCTTCTCACCACTCTTGTCTCAGACCACTCAATAGGAAGTAATCCTCCTAACTTGTCCACGGTATGGGGAGAGGACTCTCCTCTCCTAGGTTACCTATGTCACCATCATACCAGGTGCCTGCCCATGCTTGGTCAAGTTCAGG